TTCTTCTTCTTCTTCTTCTTCTTCTTCTTCTTCTTCTTCTTCTTCTTCTTCTTCTTCTTCTTCTTCTTCTTCTTCTTCTTCTCCCACCTCCTTCTTCTTCTTCGTGCACCTCGCGCGGCTATCTCCCCTGCTCCCCACGCTACCTCCTCTCCTCCCTGTTCCTGCACTCGTTGCCTCCCGCTCGCGGTGATCTACTCCTCCGCGGCAGCTATCTCTACCGTATCGTGGGTAGGCCCGACAAAACGAGATCGCGGCGGGATCAGAACTCTTCCCGAGAACGCGAACCTGTCTGAAATCAGCGGCAAATACAATAAGGTAAGTCTAAATCGTACATGCTGGGGAAAAAAAAGAAAGAAAAAGAAAAGAAAAGAAAAGAAAAATAATCCGAGAAGAACAATAAGAAAAACAGAAAAAGCAAAGAAAGAAAATCTAACGAAAGGCTGCTAACCACCTGTGTCTCCATCTCCATTGTCGTGGCATCGTCGTTGACATCATCCTTGTGATGCTCTCCGTACAGTTGTCCGAACTCGTCAGACGACTCTCCAGATCCGGCATCGTCCTCACTGTCCTCCCCTTCGTCGTCTCCAAAACTCACGTCCCCTTTCGCACCCTCTCTTCCTTCAAGCAATTCAATGAGCTCCGTTTCTCCCCCTTCCTCCCCTTCCTCCCCTTCTTCCCCTTCTTCCTCCCCTTCTTGCGCTTCCTTCCCTTCCTCCATTTCCTCCCCTACTTCCCTTCTATGCAATTCAGCCCCTTTCCCGGTACCCGTGTTAAATCCCGAGGACCGCACTTCTGTCTCCGTGCATGCTGCCCCTCTCGGCGGCACAACAATCCCTGGGGGTAACCTGAAGAAGTTCGGATCTCGGCGGACTTCGTCGTCTCCGTGTCGCCGGACCCTGCACTTGTAGCCTCTCGCTGCAATCCTAGGGGCCGTCGCTCCCGCTTAGGCGATGCATTTTCGTCCCTCACCGCACCGCTGCCAATTGTGGGATCCTGGCTCGGCTCCCCCAATCCCGAGCGGCTCTGCAGGGCGGACCGCTCTGGCGGCTCCTCAACTGACGTAGTTCGGATCCCGGCGGACTTCAACGTTCCGTCGGAGCGGCTGCCGAGAGCAACCAAGTCTGCCAACGTCTCCCTCGCTGAGCCCACGGACGAAGTCGGGAGGTCGGCGGACTGTGTCGTATGCCTCGGCCAGGGGCCAGTAGACGGATGCCGATCGACGGCAAAACCCGCCACCCCACCTCTGCCTCCCGGTGTCGTGGTGCCGCCGTGAGACCCTCCCTCCCCACTAGGCGGGATTCCTTTGCCACCCCCCACACTACCACCCCCGTCCCCTCAACCTCCAGGTGCCCCCCCCCCGGAACTCCCGTGCGCCCCACTAGGAGGGGGCACTTTCCAGTCCACCACGCCCTTCGACGGGCTCGTGTCGAGCTCGTAGTAGTCCTCCGTCATTTCCAACCAGCACTTGTCTTGAAGCTCGTCGAACAGTCGCCCGACTATGGAAACGACGGACAGGTCGTCGGTTGCAAAAGTGTCATTTTCGGCCCTCACTTTTTGGAGGACCGAAATCCTCGCGAGGTGCAGGAAGTTGGACTTCGACTTGCGTGGTGTCGTACCAAATACCCTTACAAGGATATTTGGCGTGTTTCTGCAAGTCGCAATAGAGCAACCTCGTCCGCTCGGCGGCGTGCGCACGAGGGGGAGTTTAGGTCCTCGCCTGGGTGAGGGGCGCGCGCGGGGTATCGATAGAGGGGCACAACCATACGCGGCCTGGGCGTGCGCGACGTCGCAGACCAGCGAAACAAGCGGTGTTTATTCTTATTGTTATTTTTTATTTTTATTTTTTATTGGCTTGGTGATCGAGTTGAGACGGATCTCGAGACCGACTGGCCTGACTCAGCTTTTAGACTTCCAGACATTGGCCGCCGTCGCGGCAGTCGAGGACCGTGATCATGCGCCTCCTTTGACGGACCTGTTCGGATTCCTGCGTATTGGGGGTGTTGGCGAGATTCTTCCGTCCTACCGGCGTTGGAACACTGACCGATGAGGCCAACGTGCGTGGAGATGGTGGGGTCCGCGGTCAGGGTTTCCCTCGCTTACCACTTGGAGAGCGCCGATAGCCTAAAAGCGGAAGGGAAATTGAAAGAACATTCCGAGCAGGCCTGCGGGGCAGCATCCAAAGGGTGGCGTGGGCCTTCCGCGGGGGGGCCGCACCATCTGTCGGCCACGACCTGTTGTGGGAAGGCTGAATGTGAGCCTGCCCACCAGGGCCCGCAAGATGGTGAACTGGGCCTTGGGCGTAGCGGCTGGAGCGTGGCGAGGAGGCTCGCTGCGGACCTAGGTGCCCGACCAGTTACGAGGAACCCCGTGGCAGCCACGTTCGAGCCCAAGCCTCCAAACGAGGCAACATGCGAGAGCTGCACCCACCAGCAGGGGGGGGGGGCATACTGGCCAGGGGCCAGCCGGGCGACAAGCGGCTCGCAGAAGCGCTTTGAACCGGCTGGTAGCCGGTCCCCTCCGAAGTTTTTCTCAGAATAACTGGCGCTGTAGAACAGGCCGCTAGATACTACGGGGTCCGTTGCTGCAGAAAGCAGCGTTCATCGGCGGAGCGGGTTGGGCAGCTGCGGAGACGAGGGGGAGCGTCGGGCGAGAATCAGCCCGAGCCGCTGTGTTGCCGAAAGTTGCGTTAGCCTGGCGAATGGCAAGCAGAGGAGCGATGGTCGGGGAGAGGGACCACGAACCAGGGAGATTGGGTGCTCGAGAGGAACGAGGGAGGGGAGACTTACCTCCTTGCGCTCATTGTGCCACCACCCAACTGCTTGTATTCAGTTGCCGCTCGTAGTAGCTTCTGGGCTAGCGCATGGGTTGTAGCAGAAAGGAGGAAACGGATCTAGACGGGCTCGTGCGCCGGGTGCATGCGCAGAAGGGAAGAGCGCAGCGACGAAAGGTGAGTATGGCCTGGGCATGGAAGGGACAAGAGAGACGACTACGGAGGCTGGGTCTAGGCACGGACGGGAAGTAGAGGGCAAAGAAAAAGACTGGCGGAGGACTAGAGAAAGAGATATGTTGGAACGAATGTACCTGGGCGGGAGGAGGATTCGAGTTCTCACCCGATTCTTGAAGAAATCGGGTGAACCAAAGACCGAAGTTGGAGGTTTCGAGGCGCGCGACCTCGGATTTGTGATCAAGTTAGTGTGAAAGTTAGTATACGAATAGGTTAGTACAAAAGTCAGTGCGCCGAGATGAAGAGATGGCGGGACTGAAGACGAGGGAGAACGGGGGAACACTTATCTCCCTCGTTTCTGAATAGATTTGGGTGAGGGAGGTCTCGTCTCCGGGGTTTTGGGCCATGGCGAGTCGAATGGCCATGTTAGTTTTGAGAAAAGGGGAGCAGGTCAGTCGGTAGGAGAGTATAGGCTGCGCGCGAAGTGGTAGTTAGTTGTGATA